AATTTCTTAAATACAACGATTTTAAGAGTGGCTTATCTTTTTTAAAATCTACGAAACAGCTTGTTCGGAAGATACGCAAAGGAAAGATTCTCGTCATCCTTACTCGATTTTGCATTTTACTTTAATAATACATACGAGGCTACTTCTTCCGCACAAGTTAGGTTAACGACCGAGATTGTATCTCGCGGTAAATGGTGGTTACTTGCATTTCCCACATGTCGCCGTGTGCATCATTTTTTTTTTCTTGTACACTCTTCAAACACTTCCCTTAACTGCACGTTCTCGAGCTGGCTTCTTTCAATTGTCGTTGAGTCATATCCACACACACACACACAGTTATTGTCTTTTTGCATACATATATAAGTGGTTTCCTGTTGAAACTATAAAAGATCGATGCTGTCGTTAAATCGATTGGTGTCGTCAAGTATTAACTGGGACGCGAACAGATTTCATTATTACTCATTACTTTGTCGAGTTAGTCACTCATCGATGATTCATTAATTGATATTCAGATATCTTACTTTAATAAAACATAAATTAAGAGATATTTTCACAGATTTTATGCACGTTCTCGAGCTGGCTTCTTTCAATTGTCGTTGAGTCATATCCACACACACACACAGTTATTGTCTTTTTGCATACATATATGAGTGGTTTCCTGTTGAAACTATAAAAGATCGATGCTGTCGTTAAATCGATTGGTGTCATCAAGTATTAACTGGGACGCGAACAGATTTCATTATTACTCATTACTTTGTCGAGTTAGTCACTCATCGATGATTCATTAATTGATATTCAGATATCTTACTTTAATAAAACATAAATTAAGAGATATTTTCACAGATTTTATGGATTTATTACAAGTTAAGTTGTACTCTTTACATTGGACAATTTGTAAGTGATATAATGATATTATAAATATGATATTAATTTTATCATCAGTTGCACATTCCAACTTATGATATAATATCATCAGAGTTAGATTTAGATACAGCCACAAACTCCAAGTTTAGACATAGAGCAATTATTAAAAATCTTAGGAATCTGCAAAAGGCATTTTTTAAATTTAATAACGTAAAACATTTTTTACAATTATCACATTGATTTATCAAGATTAATAGAAGCGTTAGTTGTGTTAAATTATGACATCTGAAATTATCTAATTAACTTATTTTTTAATACATTGCTTGTCGTATAATTACAGAACAATATAACCAACTTTTGGCTTTCAGTCATTGACAACTAACTTTCACGATAAATGCATTCACTTCCGTCGTATTGTAGGATTAGTCGCGATTTCGCGTATGTGTTGATTCACACATCGGCACGCCTTGAAAACAAAAGGTCGGCGTATTTAATTAGCTTGGCTCAGTACCCAATTTCCCACAATTCCGTGAAATAACGGGAATATCAGGCGAATGAACAGGAAAAAGAAGGCGAGTCCGACGTCTACCTTTTCTCTTCTACTTTTGTCCTGATTATCCACTTTTCTTACGGCCGGCGTGGGCGAAACTTTGAACATTGAAACCACATGTTGTACTACATACGAACAAAACCTGATGAGTGCAAGTTAATAGAATCTACGAAGAAATGTAATTTAGGCGCAGTAAAAAGAAAAGTATTTATATATTGTACATACGTATAAAAAGAGTTTTAATTTTATCTTATAATTCTTTTATATATATATATA